AAACCCTGAACCCTAAACCTAAACCCTAAGCGCCAAACCCTAAACCTTAAACTCTTAAACCCTATAAACCTTGAAATGGACTCAACCCAGAAGGATGGTAAGGCTCAGCAAGTCCTGACTAGGTGTCGAGGACCAAAATAAAAAAGGCCAGGCAGCTGAAGTAGCTGCATGAGGTACCGAAAGTGCAAAGAGATGCACTGTCCTTCCTCCTCGTTTGAAAGAAAGCGAGCCGGGTACAGTTTCTGAGGCCCATCAAAGAAGCCATTCCCGATCACAGCGTGGATCTCCTCGGCCCAGAGCTTGGTCGCAGCTCTTTTGGCGATGTCACCGGCGATCTCGTGAGGCAACTTGAGCTGCTGGGCCTGGAGCGGTTTGGTAGGGTCTCAATTGCATCAAGAGTTAATCATTGCTTCGGATTGAGAAGCTAGATGTTCGAGGGATTGAGGGTTTCAGGACTCAAGTTCTGCAGGCATCATGGCTATGCTGATTTCAGACTGCTGATTTCAGACGAAGATGATTTCAGACGAAGCTGATTTCAGACGGCTGATTTCAGACTGCTGATTTCAGACAGGTTCAGCAGCGACGACAGCATGGCTATGCTGATTTCAGACTGCTGATTTCAGACGAAGCTGATTTCAGACGAAGCTGATTTCAGACGGCTGATTTCAGACTGCTGATTTCAGACAGGTTCAGCAGCGACTACTCATCGAAGGCGTAGTCTGCGAAGCCTGGTAATTTGTCTTTGGCGGAAGTGCAGCTATTATCGGAGCCAGGCCCCGAAGTTCGAGGGGTTGAGGGTTTCAGGGCTGATGTCATCGACTAGCAATAACCCAAGGTGCTTTCTGTGTGAAGCAGCTCCAGACTGGCGTCGCCATGGAAACCAAAAGCTCGTTTTTCCACCAGGTCCATGGTGTTACGAGCAACGGTGCAAGTCGCCATGAGCCCATCTTGAGCTTGAGTTGTCGTAGCTCCTCTCGATCGTCCAGATTGCCGGCCAAGATATCCGGTGTCAGCACTGCCTCAGGCTGGATGCCTTGCTGTGGCGGCCCACCTTCCCCAATCAGCATCTTTGTCCAGAAGTGTTCGCCAGCATAAAATTGGTGCGATTGGAAGTAAGAAAACCATCTCATGAGTTTGACGAGTGGTCCATGCTGCTGCAGCGTCTGCAGCGAAGTGATCGTCCCGAAGAGTGCCTCCCTCTCCTCAGCAGTCGTTGGCTCCGAAAGGCCCATCTCATGGCAGATGTACGGCATGGCTGAGGAAGATTTCGCCATCAGCTGTCTGTTTGGCTCTAAATTCCTCTGCATACTGTTGCTTCTTGGCCATCCAAGCCTTGGTGCCTCCAGGTCCATAATTCATGTTGTAGAGAATGGAGAACTGCAGGAGGATGCGAAAGAGCTTCACACTCCTCATGGCCGACTTCAAGTCGTTCCATGTACGATGACTCTGATCATACAAGGGAAGCACGAACCCACGAAGCTTGAACTGCAAGTGATCGAGACCAGGACATTTCAGCGGTCCCTGATCGCTCACCGAGATCAACAGTGGCTGCTTCGCCAGACTCCATGCAGTCGGTACCTGTCTTTGAATCGACTGTGTCGTGGTATTATAGATGAAGTAGGTCCCGTTCATCAGCACCCGTTCCTCCTCCGCCCGGAGTGGCCCCAGAAGTAGGTCTGGAGGCTTTGCGAAGGCGGCAAGCGGAAGCCCAATTGAGTTCAGGGCATGGCTGAAAGATCGCATTGTATTGTAACTCTCGACACGTGTGATCCGGCCTTGCACAGCCAATGTCCTCACAGTTTCGTGCAACTCTGCTGTCTGGACGGGGCTGATGTTTTGTATGGGTAAGTAGCCCGACACGTTCTTCTTGTAATCGTATGCGATCGCCACTAAAGTTTCCACATCATAGGTTGACGCATCCCAGGACACCTGGACATGCTGCGTGTCGGCAAAGGCCTGACAAGGTAAGTTAGTTCTTGCAAGCAGGCCCTGACATCCAGAAGCCTAAAGATCTATCTCATATCAATTCAACAACACCCTGAAACATAAAACCTTTGTGCTCAGCAGGCCATAGCAGGGCAGGCAAAAGCGTAACGGTCAATCTCAAATAAAACACCTCTTCAAGTTCTAGAATAATCTAAATTAATATCTAAACCCTACAAGATAACCCACTTTTATAAATAGTAAACAGACCCTACCTGCCCAAGGCCTAACCATCAGAATGAAAACGTGGTTTAGGGTTTCGGGCTTAACCCCTAAACTCTATTTTCAAATAGTGCTTTAAAGTTTAGGTTTAAGGGTCTAGAGTCTAGGGTTTTAACAGCGAGCCGTAAAGTTTGATGCCGAGGCTCGGTCGTCAAGAGCTTGACATACTCAGCCACTTCCAAATTAGCCTCAGCTCGTATCAGTGCGATCTGACGTGGCGCCAAGTCAGTGTGCGTCTGCATGACTTCTCCTCTGTGGCGCTTTTGCGCCTTCACGCGTTGTAAAAGTATGATTTTGTTCACTTTCGGAACTCGTCGACTGTTTCCATGCTTGGTTTTCAAAAGGGGAAGCGGTGCCAGTGGCAAGTTGGCAAGTTCATCGACATAGGCCTCCAGCAAGTAACCAGCAAAGAAAACAACCTTGGGATAAAGGTGTACAGAGAACTGCTCCCAGATCTTCGAACTCGGGTTGTGCTTGCTCCATATTAGGAAGAGGTAGATATCCCAAAGGTTCGTTTGCTGAAGAGTGGTTGAAAGTTTGCGACCACACCAAGCGTGCTGCGAAAGCTTGTCCCAGCCCTTGCTTGCACCCTTATGCAAGTTCTCCAGGTCGGCCAAACCTCGTGTGCTGCCATCTTCAAGAAAATCCAGACTGAGGGCAATCGGGGAGCTGTCAACATCGGAGACAAAGTTGCACGAAACCCTGCCTCTCTGAATGCCAGACAGGGCTATTTTTGCACAGGCTTGCCTCAGCATCTCCTCTACCAGCACCAGCGATTTAGTTTTAGTCTCGGGTTGCAGCTTCCGGCGTCCTGGCAACAGCCCAAACAGCACCAGCAGAGCTCTTGTCTCCACTGTGTGCCCAGCTTTGTGCGGATCTTCACTCCCTGCCCCTCGGTAATGCAGCTGCGACAATGGAACCTTGGATTGGGGGGCATAACATTGCTTTCGAATAGGCAAGCTCTTTACGAAACCCGAAGCCCCAACAGAAAAATAAGCTAAAGTTATGCGACTAAGAAACTTCAGCGCCCTCCAGCTCAGCCTTGAACTTCTCGTTGTTTCTCTGGAAGAACACATGATCCTTCGTCCCATCAATCTTCAGATTGTGAAGCAGTCGGTCCGAATACCATTCGGCCTCTTTGTTGCTGTTGAAGTAGCCAGCTAAGCAATGCCCATGCGGCAAAGTCCAGGAGAAGGACCGAAAAACCTCTCCAGACTCTTCCATGGCCAAGCTCTGGTTCAGATAGTTTATAAAAGACCTGCCAAAAAAGACCCCCGAGGTTTCGGGTTTAAAGGTTTAGGGTTTGGGGGCTGTCAAGGTCAACTTGGCGGGAGTGAATCTGAGCACTGCTGGGTTATAATATGGGGTTTGGTTCAGGGTTTGGAGCTTCAGTGAACCACAAAGCCTCCGTCGGGGCAACAAACTTACAAGACCTGTCAAGATGGACCTCCGAGGTTAAGGGTTTAAAGGTTTAGGGTTTCGGCGCTCACACTCGGACAATCCAGGCGAGGCAATTGATGCGGAGTCTGACAATGTGAAACCGATGATGGGTCCGTCACAGTACGAAGCAACAGGCTATAGCAACACATAAAGTGACTGTATCCGCAGCGACTGAACCCTTCCCAAGATCTTACAGAATTGAAGCAAACTAGAACCAGTAAGACCTCGGGAAGAATGTAGCTACTCAGATCACTTCTTCGGGTTCGAGGAGGTAACATAATAGGTAGGCAAATGTCGTAAAAACTATAAAGAGCCGAGATGGCTCGGGTACAGGTGATCTGGTTGAGTATCATCATCGCGATGATACACGCTGTTCCTAGTCGTATTGACCAGCTGTACTTTTCAAAGGGGTGATACCGAATGGAGCCATGGACTGAGTGCTGGGGGTTACTGTCATGCATATGGAGGCTACATGCACACGCAAAGTTGCAGTGTTGCTGCCAGCGTTGGGCCAGGAAGAATCCGAAGAAAGCTATCATGGCTGTCGCGAGCAGAGTCTCAAATTACCATGCCGTGTGTTAGGTTTACACACTTCCATGGCGCGAACTCAGGCTCGTCTATGAAGAGACATCACAGCAACTGACAACACTTGCAGTAACCCCCAGGATGGGCGCCAGGATCTCGTTGTGCTTGATCATCGTGATCCAGCTTTGGCTTGCAGTAAATTCAAAACAGTTGTCAGAAACTCATCGTGTGGCACGGGCATCATGCAATAAATTCTCAGGATTCTCAGGATTCATTATCCACGACATAGCATGCATCCTCGCAGTCAGCTGTCAGTATCTCATATCGCCTTTGTACCACAAGCCTGCCAGAAGCAGCGCAGAGTGACCCCTTTCTTTGCACTGACAGCCGGGGTCATAATCAGTGTGCAGCATCGTGCAACACCCAGTGTTCGACTGCGGCCATGGCTGTAGCACTGACGAGGGTTCGTGGTTTCTTAGGATCTAGCTTCTTACAATCAATCGCAGAGACCTACCAAGGCGAGTAAGTACCCCAAGAGACCCAAGATATATCGAGGTTAAAGGGGGGAAGAAGGAATAAAACATGCTAAAATTGTGGGTTCAGGAGCTTAGAAACAGAGTCAGAACACACAGAGAGAAAGCAACCCTAAGGGCCTGAAAAGACCCCAAACCCCTGCCAGCACTCCTTGGGGCATGTCTTACACACGTCCCTGCTTCAACATTGTCACCCTCCGATCGCAAAGTCTGAGCGCCAGGGGAGAGTGGCTTGAGTATCTTCTGAGGTATAGGAGTCGAATTGGGTGGTTTTGGGTTTCTTAATGGACCCGGGTGATGACGGGGCAGCTACGTATCTATTATTATGTGCAAACTGGGAGTACAGTGCATCTACAGCTACTCTAGCCACCCCAGGCGGCATTGTTTGTAACTCGTTCCGGATCCGAAACCTCAGGCCTTAAGTGGCATTATCAGCTGGGTTTCAGGACACTCAGCCCAAGAAGCAGTAGAGGGGAGGTGCTTTAAGGAGGGGACTACGGAAATCACAGCAGTGCAACAAATGCGGTCTAAAAGCCCAAGGAAGCAAGCAAGCTCCAAGCATTGAGACACAAGATTCAGCATTATGGGGAAACAGTAGACGATGAGTGGTCAGAGGGTCGGCCTGGGTGCATCAGACGAAAGTGTGATACCAACGTTAGAGGGCGTCGATCAGTTTCCACTCCCCCGAAACACACTCTCTCAGTATCGAGTCGAAGTTCACAGGAGGGCCAAGAGTAGGGGAGATTCCATCCCGTATAAATACCCGAGTAACAGTCCAATGTACAATAGATACGGAAACTTACCTGCTCCGACCAAATAAAAATCCTGTTATTATCGAGCACATTAACGTAGGGCGGTCGATCAGATTCATGAGAGACAATGTTAGACGTAAGAACGTCCATAATCGTAACCCAGTAACTCCAAAGGACGGCTCCACAATGCCGAAGTGGTATGATGCTTCGCATACGTCTAAGGCGAGTGAGTAGTCGGGAAGAAGCGACATATGAGAGGTCCGGAGGGAAAGCATTCAGCAAAACCTGGAGGCCCCAGCCCCATAAGCACTCCCTACTCAACTCATGCGGTGAAAGGATGTCCGGGCCTGGGCCTGGGTTGGTTCTCATTGGTCCAACTGCTGGGGCGCTTAGTTTGAGCATAAGTTCTATCGGCACGGGCAAGAGTTTGTGGGGGGGGATGCATGCTCACCCTCAGACTCTGTGGCCTTTATCGAGCTGGCCAAAGGTGACATGCATGTCGGAGACAACAAATTGACACATACATGCACATGCGTAGTCATGCGAAGTTACTAATTAGTTGGCTCAGAGTTGCCACGGACACAATGTAGAGTTAATAGTGCTGACGGTTCCGCGGCCTATCACATGTGCCCCGTGGTCTGTGAGCCTATCGCAGGGTGAAAGGATATGGGGCTTACGGTTGTTCGGGTCTAAAGGTGTAGGAGCCCTCTTTTCCTCCCGCCCGTTCGGTTAGTTGGAATGCCGCTTCGGCTGAGGGGTGGCAGGCATCATGGCTATGCTGATTTCAGACTGCTGATTTCAGACGAAGCTGATTTCAGACGAAGCTGATTTCAGACGGCTGATTTCAGACTGCTGATTTCAGACTAAGCTCACGAGAAAGAAAAGGTTGCTCTCCCAGACAAAACCATATAAAACCGTGTCCTTAACCCCCACTATAAACTCATGCAGCAGTCGGCTCACCATTTTCCCCGCAACCCAGGAACGTGCTGAATCAGCGGCTCGCTGAGAAGGGCTTTGCTAGCCGAGTCTGTGATTAGGGACCTGTGGGGGGATTCACCACCCACCACTCAATGCTACCCATTACTAGCATAAAACGACACATGGACTGGTCCCCCACTCAAACTGGCCCGCCTCTGTCTGACCACCTGAACCTACTCTACTTAGGTCACCACTACAGCACCGTACAGTATAGCGGCAACGAGGGAAAGCTCCACTATTCGCCGTCGCTGACATGAGGCCTGGGGCACGTGCAGAATTCCGGCTCCCTAGATGCTGAGCCGAAGGCCACTGTGGCACATTGAATCAAGTCTTAGTCTTCCGAATCGTCCTTGGATGTGGGTGAAGGGACATATTCGAGATCCTTCAAAGTTTCCTCAATCTCAAAGGCGATCTTGTACCAGCAGCTCTGGTGGAGAAAGACATCCGAATGTTTCTGGAGGAACTCTTTGGCCTCAAAGAAGTGATCACCCATTTCTTTTTGGTCTGGGCACACAGGAGGAGCAAGCCTCCCCAGAGGAGTTGGAGGAAAAGGCCCACAATAATCCGGACGGAAATCGCATTGCATTTCACACATGTATTTCTGCAACAATCGGCACACATCTGCCATAGCTCTCAGCCAGAAAATTTGCTCAGAACCCTCGTTGGAATCCACAAAGGAGTCCAGAACAACTTGGAGGTTGTGGAAATACCAAAGCCACATCAACTTGTCTGTATCTGGGTAGGAAAGCTTCAAAGAGGTCTCCAGGCCAGCAGCGACTTGACGGATGTTCAACCACATGGCCCTCGGAATGAAAGGGCAAGTTTCAAGGCTAAGGAAGAACAAACAATACAACAGCTTGAGCAATGCGCGGCTGAAGCAATTCATCACAACGGCGAGAACAAAACAGACAATTCCATGCAAGATTTGCAGCACTGGTCGGTTTGAAGGTTGCAGGCCTTGGCATTGGGTTTAAACTCACGCTGTCATTCCGCACACTGACACCCGTGCTCATTTCATTCCTTTTGCTCAATGTCAAGCACATGTTAATATTATATTCCGACGAAGCAGCACCGGCGACAGCAAGATCGTGACTTCTGCCCACAACACAATCCACATTCTATCCGTGTCAAACTCAACAGGCTCGGTGTTTGCACGTACCCTAGTCGAGACCCTGTAGCGGCTAAAAGGCTAGAACAGCACCCTAAGCACCCCTGCCCGAGCCTGCCTGCTCTCAGCGCATGACTTGGTTACACTCACACTTTTCGGGCATTCTCCGGGTAAGGTTGCCTGGAGGCACTTCTCTGCACTAGGAAAAGGCACAAACCAAGAGGCAACTACTTCTACCTCGCCTTTTTCCCCGGATTGTGGCTGTTTTCAGCCCCCGTACTTTGTCAGGGTTTTGGGTTTGTGTGAAAACAGCCGCTTTGTGAGGTATCATGGCTATGCTGATTTCAGACTGCTGATTTCAGACGGCTGATTTCAGACAAGGCATCTTTGCTTGTGTCCCCATCCATTTCCTGATCCTTCAAGGACCGCTGAAAAAGTTTCTGCAAACCATCGTTCAATGTGTCGTCCACATAGGCTGGACCGTGCGCTTCGGCCAGCATCTCGCAAAACCTCTGCGCATCCTTGCGGGAGAACGCACAGTGGCTGGCCACTCAGGAGTGGCAGGCATCATGGCTATGCTGATTTCAGACTGCTGATTTCAGACGAAGCTGATTTCAGACTGCTGATTTCAGACTAAGCTCACGAGAAAAGGTTGCTGTCTGACAAGTTGAGTTCCCATAACTCTGATTTCAAACTTGAAAGTCAACAAGCTGACCTGCAACAAAACGTGAACCCTAAACCCCTAAACCGAAACCTGAAAGCCGAATCGTAAACCCATGAACCCCGGGCTAAATTCCGCGGCTTAAGGTCGCTATGGCTCTCGTACAGACGTTTAATTTCACCTTCAGCAGCACTTGACCAGACGATCACCCCTCACTGTACGTGGAA